AAGCTTGGTTTGGTGTAGAAGGCTTCCAGCCGTACATGTTTGAGCCCTTGCCTCGCAACGCTGCCAGTTCTGTTAGCTCTACGCCTGCTGAAGACACAGACGTCCATCCCTGTGAACACTGGGATGGAACTCAATGGGAAAGGAAATTATTCCTATTTTTTAGTTCAACCGTTGCGTATATTAGCTGGGACATATGAATCAAGATGATATGACAGAAAAAATTAGATTGACAGATGACCGCTGATATATGATTGGCCGAATTTAGATGTTCAGGCGGATGTATAAATAACTGGCCTGCATAAAATAACAACAAAAAACCCCCACAGATTTTAAGACAGAAAATTTCTATTTAAAAAAAAACCTAACTTTTGGGACAACATGGTGTGATAATCAGTACATTTCTATACATGTTTAAGCCAGAATGATTTGAACTTTAAATATGATTTCCCTACGACTAACAAACAAACAGCATTGTGAAGATTTAGTAGCCAGCGTTTGGGTCTGATCTGAACTTTAAATTTAACAGAGAGGGAAGGATGAAGAAGAAACGCAGAAAGACCAAGACTTAGAGGTTCACCTAAAGCAGGGGTCAACAACATGCGGCTCTTTAGTGCACCCCTTGTGGCTCCCTGGAGCTTTTTCAAAATGTATGAAAAGTGAAAAAGATGTATTTCTTTTAGTTTTTTTTCTTTTAATATTGTGTGTAGGAGGAAAATCATTCACTATGTCTTCCAATTCTGTAAAAACGTGTATCATAAATACATTTAAACGAAATGTAAACATTTCTATCAACAAACATTTGTGTCATAGCCTGCGACACACGATTCAGCTCGCCACAGTGCCATTTACGTTGCTATTGTGAGCAAACCACTGGGCGCACTGTAATGAAATTATATCGGCTTATTTTGGTTTACATAGCCTACTTCCCTTATCAAAAGGCTGCTGTTGCAGGCTGTGTTTTATTGCACTGTTGCTCCGATAAGGGGGGGAATACGATTGTATTTTTACTGTGGTTTGAAGAGGACAGCTGTTTATTTCCACTTGGAGGTTTAAAATTACAGGAGTCCTATTATGTACACTTCATTTTTTTTCAAATCCTCAAAATAAAAATAACCCCAAAAATCTGATTTCTTCATTGTGTTTCTATAAATCATTTGATGCAAGAAAGTGTAACACATTAATATTGTAAGGGAAGTTAAACATAAAGCACCAAATATCATACAGCAGATTGGTCACATGGTGTAATTCTCTCCAGGATGCACTGCAGGGAAAATAAACATTTAATCATGAATGATTATTATGGATTTAAAACTACTTAGTCATTTTAAAAGTGG